GACATATATCCGAGTGAAACGGCAACTCGAACTCAGAAAAATGTACGGTGGGACTTGATCTTGTCCATTGGGAATTGATTGGATCGTTGTGGATTTCTATTGCTGTGATGTCATGTAAATGACAGGTTGTCCTTGAAGAGATGTCGCTGCAAGTGGGAGGAGAAGATATTTTGATTAAAGATTATAAGAGCACGATGCACAGATAAATCATTTATAATATATACTGTAATATTCTATATTTAAAAAAAAATCCATTTTGATTTCATGGTGACTAAAGTATTTGATATTTTTTCATGTGTGGTATATTAAAAGTTGTAAGCTTTAATTTCTTCAGATGTCCAAAAATATCTCCAAAAGAGGTATACAAACCTTATATGTCCCTTTATTTGTGTTTGTTTGCTGAAGAGATAATGTTAACAATGTGTCAGCTTGTACCTCATTAGCACATATGTGTTTCTCCTCTAAAAGGTATTTTGGGGTCCAGTTCGTCAAGTTAGTTTTCACCTGGATATTTGATTACAGTCAGACAATCCTAAGATTCATCCATGTTGAAGATTTGCAGCATAAATGTACATGCGTGAAGATTTTGTGTCGTTTCAGTTAAGTAAATCATTTATGCTTGAATTTGTCCGATTGATTCAGATAAAATAATTCCGATTCCTTTGTTCGTATAAGGACAGACTTAAAAAAGTAATCTGACATTGCTTGTTCTCATTCTAACTAGCCGTCTCAGAACAGTACATATAATATAGTAATATAGTCTTTATTGCTGAAAATATTGTCAATAAAAATGTAACTTTGCAGTGTTTCACAACACTGTTATGAAATAGCTTTGCTGAATCACTAATGAAAATGTTTTGTATAGTTAAACTGCTTCATTTGCAATATTCTGTCCAAAGGAAAAATAAATAAAGTCCTGCATTGTCCTGCATATTTATTCAATTCAAGCATGCAAATATATTTCTTGTGAATAAGACAGCGACTAGCTTGCGACCAAACTCTCTCTCTCTCTGTATGGTTAAAACTGAGAAAACTGCTTTGTGCTCTGGGATCAATTAGAGGCGCTTTCAGCACAGACAGACTGTGACTGAGGCTGGCTCATGTGTTTTGTTTGGGTGAGAAATGTTTTCGGACCTCATGACCTGCCCACACGTACTTATCGGTGTCCTTGTGCACCCCAGGGCAGAGCAGACAGGGGACGAGACCTGTCCTTCCTTCCTGTAGAGACTGTTCCTGGATCTTGCAACCCAACTGCTGTATTCCATTTAACCTGGGACTTGAGCTAATTCCATTTTCTAACTAGATTTAAATTTTTCTGAAGGAAATGTGAGTGGTGCTGCCCATGCAACATGTAACCATGCAACCATGTTTCTGGGGCCCCCCAGCCCTCCTCCACCAAGTCTCTGTTATTTGATGATTTGTGTGCCTCAAATGTATGTTTTATCATGCAAATAAGTCAATCATAACAAAATGAAATAATTGCAGATTAAAGGGATGAGCCTCTTTCTAAGCCTTTCATAAACAAGTCAGGGTCGTATACTGTTAAAAAAAAAATCTATTCAAATGTGATTTATCAACTTTTTTCGTTTGTCAAATCAACTTAGATAATTTATATGGTTCGGATAACATAATATTGTGAGTTTCTGTTGATTAAACCAATCTCCTTCATAGTATTAACTAAACTTTTTAATTCAATGAACTCAAAATTTTAAAGGCAGCTAGGTTACTCACTTTTTAGAATTAAACCAAAATTGTTTTTGTTTTTTTACACATAGGCTATTTATGGAAGCTTGTTTCCGCCACAGACTAAAAAAGGTAATTGTAACTTTTTATCTCACAATTTGACTTTTTTCCACTTATAATTCCAAGTAATCAAAAATATATTTTTTCTATTTTTAAAATGATATTTTGTCATTCTTTTTTACATTCTCGAGTAATTGTCATTAATCTAATGCCCAAAAGTAATAATTATTATACTATATATGTATATACTGTATATGATCGGTGTATATATATATATATATATATATATATATATATACACACTATACAGTATATAATAATATATAATAATATAAATATAGTCGCAGTCCTAATTTCTGATTGGTCGACACAGCAGCCAGTGTTGCCAAGTCTGTGGTTTTCCCGTGGAAATATACTTGTATATACTTATACTTGAGTATACTTTTACACAGTTGCCATGAGTTGTTTGTTTAGTCTGCAGGTTGAAGCGACCTCAGTGGAATGAAAACTTTTAACCCCCCGGAACGCGATTTGTACACAACTGGGCTAGTTTTGGCCCTGATTGGCCGAGTTTTGAATCGCAATTGGGTTGGTTGTGCTAAAACCCAGAATATAGTAACAGTTGCTCACTTGGTAGCTAGACATATCACTGTGCAGAACCCATTGCAGATCATTATTTTTGTTGCATAGCAATGAGCTGTTACGTCAGGGGTTTAAACATAAACAAATAAATGAACAGTTGTTATATCGTAATATAATTACTGTGACAACAAGTGAGAGATATTTTAGAAATGTACATATGGTCTTAATGAGGTGAAATGTGGACTTTGTGCACTGTATTGAAGGGTTTCTGGTGAGAAGCTGGTGTTATCATTCACCGTCATGGGTGATTTGATATCCTCGAACCCACTGCGCAGAACAAAACCGCATGTCCCAAACCTCAGTGACTGCAGAGTTCCTAGAGAGCAAGGAAGACAAACACAAAATTGTTCCAGGGTGGAATCAGCCTACAGCCTTTATTGCACATTCCTGTTTGGTTTTGCTCTGACCACATCCTGGCATGATGTTTATGCAGTGCAGAAAACACATTGTCTTGTAGTTTTACCTTTCACCCTGTGAAAGCCTGAGATCACTACATATACCAGACTCCTTTCAATTCAGGTACACATATATTATATTTTTTCATTTATTTTTCTTTCTCTTTTTATCATCAGTGACAATGCCTGCAACATGCTTCAAAATCTTCATTTTGGCAAACTACAAATAAATTAAAACACATTCATAGAACACAATTTGACATTTAAGGACATTAATAAAGAAAATTAGGACAAACTGAACCAACGGAGGGAAAAGAAATACAAAGAAGCGGCTTCTGCTCTTTATCATTACTTTCTTGCTTTTTTTTTTTGAAAAAAAAGAAAAAGAAAACAAGTTAGCTAGCTAACAATCACAGACCACATGCAGATATAATACAACAGAATCATCTCACTCGTTTGGACGATTAACTCTGTTAGTTAGTTTCTGCAAACTACTGATCTAAACTATATCACAAAATTATGCTTTAAACCGGAAAACATCCAATTTCGCGATATTTTTGACTGGTTATAATAAGTCCTTGGTATAGTATCTCCTCTCGCTAAATAGGAAAACACACGACCACTTCTCAATAATGTCCAAACAGAGTCTGGAGAAGACCAAATGCACTTCAGTAGTGATAAGAGATACCATCTGCGACTAGACAGAAATCTGCAATAAGCCACCCACGAGGGTTTACGCATGTTTTTACAATCACTGCAGTGATACGAACATGAATTACAGGTTGTCCAGTAACCAGCGTGTTTTTTAATTTCGATGACCAGGATAAAATGATCATTGTATACAGCAAAATGTAGTGCTTTCCACCGGATAGAAGCACTGGACATTAGAGAACCTTAATATCAATAACACAAAAAGCTACTAGACAGAAATAAATATATCAGTAACGGATCAACAGTGTTGTTTCGCCTCCTTCCTCCTTCAGGGCATCAGCATTTGCTGTTTTATCATTTATACATCAGTGTCTTCGTCCTTGTTTTAAATTAATTAGCAGCTTCTCATCTAACATTTGAAATCGTCAGTAATAGCAGAGAGTCTTTCTACTGAGAGCGCAGCAGTTACACACGGGAAAACACACAAGGAAATGGTGACAAAGTACATTAAGCATTTGGCACATACTGTTTCATGTCTGGAGAAGACTACCTTCAAAATATCCAATGAAACAGCATCTCACAACAATTTCTTGAGGGTGGTCTTCAATGATTTTTCAAACCTTGAAGCATAATTTTGAGGGGATATTTTTTACCCAAAAATTTGTTCCGCCATCATTTACACACCCTAATGTCATTCCAAACCAGTATGACTGACATTCTTCTGTAGTAAAGGAGACATTTTGAAGAATGTAATGGTCATTCTTTATATATGGTCATTCTATTCTATGGTGGTTCTTCATGTAAAGATGGATGTGGTTGGTCAACAGTTGTGAACGCTATATTCTAGTCTTCTGAAGACTAGTAACTTTGGGTGGCCAACAAAATCCCAATAGAAGTGGGATCTTGTTTAATCTTCCCATTCGCCGTAGCTCTTATACGGTATCTCATTGTCATTTCCACATATTCAAATGTCAAAATCAGGATTTATCATGTCAATGACAACATTGACATCAAATTTGACTCGTGGAGTTTAAATGAATGGGCACGGACAGTGAAGCGCCATACTTTCTTAGTTCTTTACCAAAGCCTTTACTCTCATAAGGCTTCGAAAGACTATTTTCGAGATTGACAATTTAGTGGAAAAGAGCAGCCAGTACACACTTCAGTATTTTTCCTTTAGTGTTTCACTGAAGAAAGAACATCATCAAGGTGAGAAAATGACAGAATCTTCATATGTCAACCACACCCATGATTTTGCCTTCTCGACTATTGTGTCATTTGTATTTCACCGTATGAACAGCACCATGGGTGGGGTGGGGTCTAAAATAAACACTATCTCATCGCTCACAAGATGCAGTCTGAGCCGTTCTGGATTCACGCTGACATTTGAAGGAGAAGTCAATAAACATCAAGGTGTCGAGCTGCAGCTCTCTCGGAGCATCAATCAGGCAACTAAACGAGCCGTCCTCATTCCTCAAGGTTTCTGGACAAAGAAGTCGCCCCCTCAGCGTCTCTCTCTCTCTCTCTCTCTCTCCACCTCTGTCCTTCTTCATTTGGCTCTTGTCAACAGTAGCGGCACCAGCTACCAGTCCAGGTTTTAAGTCATAACTGAGATTGTGCGTTGATTTACGCAGTTCGAGAGCGATGTTTATAGTCATGAGACCTTATACCCTGGGCTGTCGGCCATTTTGTCTTGTTTACTGTTGTTCTAGTCTAGTATTGATCAAGCACACAGCACAGTGATGCAGAGTCAGTGAAAGGCGGATGAATCGGGGCCCACAACCCCGAGCGTATCGATCGATGAGCCAAAATAGTACGAGCGAATCAGCACAATTAATGTTTGATCGTGTTTGGGGCATCAGCTGTGGCATCGGCATGTGAAAGTGCCAAGTTACAGTAATTCCCTATGTTGTCTCACAAAGGGGTGGGTCCGCTCAATCGGCATTGTCCTGTCGCTCAGAGCTCCATGGGGACAGATGCCACGATGAACACTCAACATCTCATGTGCAAACACCACCATGTCTGTCACATGCCTCTCTCTGTCGCCAATACTAAGATCCCATTGGGACGTCGACATTCGTTAATGCCATCTGGTATCTAAATCATCAGAATTAAGAGCTTTTGGTCTTCTCCAAAAACAAATAATAGAATGACCAATAGAGGTGGTTCACATTTATTTTCTTTGACGTCTGCATAAGCAACGAAGACTCTGTTCACACTGCGTATCTATCCAATTTTTCAAATCCGATCTTTAGGACTGGCAGTCCTGTTGTTTTATAAGTGATGAAATCTGGTGTTTGTTCAGATTATGTTGGTTGCCATTGTATTGATGTAAGCATTAGCATGATGCCAGACTTTCTCATTGTATTTGAACACATATGGGTTTGTAAACTGGGTTTCATCTCTTTTTTCTGGTCAGACTTCAAAAAACAATTGAATTTGAAAAATCGGATATTTGCTGCCTGTCTGAACAAAGACCTAGAGTATTTTTTCTCCATTGGAAATCAATGACCAGCTACGCAACACAGTGATGTCTAAATTTTGCCACGCGTACAGAGGAAAAGAAAGAGCACAGCTCTACATAAATTACAATCATCATGTTGCATCCAACTGTGAAAAACAGCACAGCCGATGAGGAGGAAACCAGAAAAACCGAACCTCAAATGTAGTGTAATGATCTGCTTATCTATTAAGTGTTAACAACAAAGTCATTTGCATGTAAAAGGGGGCAAGTCTGATGCTGTTCAGTGCAATGCATTGTCAGCTATAAAAGGAAAGAGGGATTGGATGGCGAAGAAAATAAGCAAAACAGACGGATAGACAAGGATATAGAGTGAGGATGTGGGATTGGTGCACATTTAACTTTGTTTGGAGCCTCAATAATATCCAGAGTCCTTAGCTGTATGTAGCTGCAGCGACGCCCACTCATGAGTAATTGTGATGTCGCAGCGAGTGTTCGGTCCATGGCACCTCGATGAAGAAGAGTGAAGGACGGGGTGATGGTGAATGTGCCACGTTGTTGTGTAAGATATGATGCGCTAGCTTTTTTTTTTTTTTCGTAGTTAAGTTTGATGATGAAAAAGAAGAAAACCCAACTGAAATAAGCCATGTCGGGATCGCCGTCGAAGATGCTGACATCAGCCGTCGGACACGGGAGGGGACACCCAGCCATACTTCTCGTGGGTCTTGACAAGGCTCTTGAAGGTCGCCTCAGCTTCCTTGCGACTAAAGGCCTTCTTAGACTTGCCTGCTTTCCTGCAGATACGACCCTAAAGAGAAAACAACATTTGGAGAAATCAAGATTTTCATCTGTCAAAGTGAAACATACTGAATTTAATGATCTTCAAAAGGAACACTGGAAATGGAATTGTTGGATGAGGTGTTCAAAACAAAATTGCAATCATAAAATAAAAATAATATTGCATACATATCAGCATACAAATTGCCAAATATGTTATAAATATATTATAAATGATGTAACAACAACATAAGCTATAGAATTATAAATATGAACACGTAATAAAAATTGTATCTAAACTTTATAGAACATTTTTGGATAGTTGGATATGAATGTTGTTAAAAATATAAAATGTTATAAATGAATACTTCATAATCATATCAGTGTATAACTGCTGAATATATAACAAATATATTATGAATATATATATTATCATTTTAAATTATATATAATTATTATTAATGTATATATGTATAAATAAAAAATGTATTATAAATATGAACATGCAAAAAAAATTGTATCTAAACTTCAGAGATCAATTTTGCAGTTACAATATTAGTGAATATTATGTAATTATTACATTTCTGAAAGATTTTTGAAGCACTTTCGATATTGAGATTTTTAAGGACACCTGAATAATATGCTTTGGTCTTGGAATTCTCTCATTATTATTTTATAGTTTAACATGCAAGTCAGACGTTTATGATTCCTGGATATGCCAAAAGTCAGATTTTTTAATTTTGTTCAACCTAAATGACTCTCAGCTATTACACATCTGCCTGCTACAGAGAGACACATTTACGTATTCTTAAACGTATTATATTTCAAGAGATTGGAAGCAGAAAAGCATCATTCTTCAACATCATCTTAACTTAAACATAGGGTAGAACATGGAATGTGTGTCCAAGAGAAAAATTACAAATGACCAATGATCTTAACGGATTGTGACATTTCCTGTCAAATATAATTTATGTCTAACAATTTAAAGGTAAAGTGTAATTTAATTATGTTACATTGGTTTCTATGCCAGTTTAATATACAAACAACTATACGTAAGACATTCATACATTCTGAAGAGTGTAAACACTGTGGTCCTTTCCGAATGTTGAGCAGGTCAGCATGTCAACTTGTAATTTGACCAATGCTAATTTTTGAGCTGAATCAGTTATTTGCAATTGCACTATTCCATGTGCAAAGAAAACTAATTTAACCCTTTAAATTATATACATTTATATGATTGTACTTAAGTGAATCCTTTAGTCCCAAAAAAGCCGTCTGAGGTTTGCTATAAAGAATCAAAGATGCTTAAATCAGTATTCTGCCAAAATCAACCTCTATGTATGAAATCAAAGTTGAGGTAAAGTATGTAGGTGTGTGTAGTCTGATACCAGATTTATTTACCTGTTTATTCATATATTGTGTGAATGACAGATTATGGTGTGATTAAATGGTCCTGGTGCTCCATTTTCAGAGGTTTTCCAATTTTCAATTTCAAAGCCGACTGCCCTGAGCTTTGAAGACACAGTAAATCAAGAGGCTGTGCGTGATAAAACCTCAGGCTGAATTATTTAAACAAGCTTCTAGACCATTTTAACACCAGGTTCAGCCATTTTGATCACTGGTAAAGGATAATGGGAATAGAAATGATGCAATGGTGCATCCATGATTGCGGCATCCCACAGTAAAACATCCAGCTATCATAGTATGACATTTCTCCCTGAAGTGATGATTTCAAAGTTAAAAAAAGAGATTTTAATGCTGCAAGGCAAAGAGTCTTAGACAGACAGACAGACAGACAGACAGACAGATAGATAGATAGATAGATAGATAGATAGATAGATAGATAGATAGATAGATAGATAGATAGATAGATAGATAGATAGATAGATAGATAGATAGATAGATAGATAGATAGATAGATAGATAGATAGATAGATAGATGTAGGGGTTGTGCTTGTCTTTTTTAATTAAGGGAGTTTGGAGTTTGGCATTACATGTTTATTAAAGGTTAGCAAGGCAAAGATTTTTTTTTTTTTTTTTAAATAATGTACATGAATCATGCACAATAAGACCAGGTACTTGTATAGCAAATGGAAAAGTATTTATCGAACTCTAAATCCTGTTCTGCACTCTGACAATGTTTTTGGTCCGACAAATACCAGCCAACAACCTGGTATGACTGAACAAATGATTTTATAATAGGGTAGACATTTTAAACAAGCCAAGGTGTGACAGTGAGACACATGCACACTTCTGCATAGGCAGAACAAATGCCATATTTAAAAATAAAATTTGACCAAATAGGTCTATTTGTAAATCCCTATTTGGATTTTTTAAAAAAAGGGTCTCTTTAATGGAATAGTTCAGCCAAAAAATAATTTTCTCACATTGTTCAAACAATGTGAAACACAAAATAAGACGTAGGCAGAATGTCCTTTCCAACAAAGTTGGAAGTCTAAGCTGCTCTAAAATCAAAAAAGAAATTCACAGAAATCAAATTTATACATTTTGGGGTGAATTTCTCCTTTAAGACCAGTCAAAGGATTAGGTTCGGCATGCAAACCACAACCATCCAAATATGCCACTACAGGCTACGTATGAGAACTCACAGACCCAGCATCCACTAAATGAGCAAAAAGGATGTGCTTTCAGATGCCCCAGGACTGAGGTCAGTCTAGTGCCAGTGCTGATGTAACACAGCAGGGACAGTGAGACAGAAATAGCCAGCTCTTCCCTCAGGCTCTATCAGTCAGGATGAGATCTAATGGCCCAGAAGTAACCGCCTGTGCTCAATCGAGAAAAGCCAGCCCTATCCTCTCAGAAAAGCCTGTGATTTTTGGATTAAAAGGAGCCAATGGAGCCTTAATTAAGCTTTATTGTGTTTACGGTCTCTCTTGGAAATCACTTCTCTCACGCTTGAGAGGCAACGGTGGAGAGCGCTAGGGACGAAAGCGAGAATGCGTGGGGAGTCGTGCCGATGTTAATCCAGGTTATTTGCATCAGCGTTTTCCCTGCAGCATGCTAAGGGCATCACTGACGTCTCCCTACGCTAGTTTGGTTTGGTGTGTATAGAGTGCAACGCAGTACCCGTGTGAAGTGCCGGATGGGTAATCCTGTGAATGGAGATCAGTCAATGGTCTCGCTCGGCCTCTGTGCATTCTGGGACAACACAGACGGTAGGGATTATGTAACCGACATGTGCCAGATAAGAGTAAACAGTGTTGCTCTTTGCATCATAGCATCACATGAAGCATACACCTGTTTGATGCTGCTTACAGCCTCATGTCAAAAGGAAAGTTTTCTGTAAAAATTTAACAAGGCAAAGCAGGAATATTGTTGATCTCTTAAAGTAAGGCTGAATATAGTCTTGATTAGAGACATGTGACACATCTTTTCATTTCCAATCTATAGTATTGGTCATGGTCAATGCATGTTATGGTCTTAAGCATTAAGTGTAAAAGTACAGTGTAAAATCACGTGCATTTTATCAAATTATTAATCTAAATGTTAGAAAGGACACCTAATATAAAGTGGGACCCAATAGTTTTATGGCTTATGTACATGATATATATATATATTTTTTTTAAATGTGTTGATATTTTGTGCTGTAAATGATTCTGATTTAGAAAAGCATTAAAAACAGCAAATCTCTGAGCTTTGGTATGCAGAAATATCTTCCAAAACCAAAGACGACGTACAAAAAAACGTAACATTTACATTTGGCAGATGCTTTTATCCAAAGCGACATTACATTTCAAGGTACACATTTACATTCTTATCAATTCTTGCTTTCCCTGGGAATCAAACACATGACCTTGACGTTGCAAGCGCCAACACTCTACTGTTTGAGCTACAGGAAAGGTAACGCTTAAGGTAACAGGACTTAACATTTGAATGATTGTCAAAGCACATTAGGTAAAAGTGAATGAAGCGAATGAATGCACGATTCAGTAAAGCTGGGGGAAATTATTCAATTTAATTCCAAATTATTAATTCCAAAGGCGATAAACCACGAATCCTCTGCAGCAAAAGGCAAAATGTGGCCTGTCCTTTCCTTTTACAATACAATAGCTGCATGTTAATTGGGGGTCTGTTGTGTCAGTGGCAGCTAAAACTGTAATTACCCTTGAGTGCTTTGGGTCATTTGGGGAAAATTGTTATCTAGTCACCGCTGCCTCAGACAGACTCATCATGAATTTGGCATTATAGAGCTCTTGACAGGTTGAGGTAAGGGTAGATGAACAGGTCTTTCCTCTCAGATTTACAGCAGAGGGTTAATGGCCAGTATCTAGCTTCATTATGGATTCTCATCCAGTTCCATCACCCACGCTGGTCTTTGCAATCATCCTTATAAGAGGACTATCTAATGATGATGTGATCCATATATGGACCCATCTAATCACATTACTAGTTAAGATACAGGCTGCACACTCTTGAGAAAAATGGTCCGAAATAGCACCAGATTATAATTCTGTTGGCTTGCAAGTTGCAACCACAGCAAAACCATTTTTTGTGCAAAATGGAGACTTGCGGATCTCAAAAAGTTGCTCTTTAGGATAATATATGTATACACTGACTGAACATTTATTCATTTTCAAATGCAGGTGTAGGTGAGGTGTAGCATTTGAAATGTAGTAGGAAATGCCCTATAGAACAGAGAGAAGAGCAACCGATGTAATGTGTGGACACAAAACCCACACTTCACTCTATACTCTTAAAAATAAAGGTGCCTAAATGTTTCTTTTTTTAGTCTGATGACATAAGAGACTCTTTTTTAAGTTCCTACAGTGCAATGTGATAACCTTTTTATGGTACTTCAGTGAATCACATATGTCCAAGCACTTCAATAAATCTAAGTCATCACTTTGCTCTGTTAATGGACGAACCAATACGCTGATCAGAAGAACCACTAATGGAACATCAGGAACTTTAATAATCTCCACAGAACCATACAGCCAAACTAAGCACCCCATATAGAGGGCCAAAACGGTTCTTGATAACATTGGTTCTTTGCTGAAGATAGAATTCTTTCAAAAATGACAAATCTGTCCAATGTTGTTCCAAATTCGTGTGACGTGGAACATAAAAACAGCCTCAGCCACCATTTAGTTCCATTCACTCTTAAAAATAAAGGATCCAAGTGGGGGTTTTCACAGCGAGAACCTTTTATTAATTTAAATAACCTTTTGTACAATTGAAATATTGTATGTTCTTCATAAAATCATTCTTCATAGAACCATTGGTGCCAATAAAGAACCTTTATTTATAAGACTGATGTATGGAAAAATATGCAATGAAAGTGAATGGAGACCGGGGTATCTTTTGTGTAGAAATAAAACCATACCGGTCTGGAACGACATGAAGGCATGTTTTATTCTGTTTTACTTTGTAGTTACATATGTAACAGAGTGACAACAACGCATTGAATGGACCTTGCATGTTTTTTCACGCTTTTCACCTGTGCGCCGATGCCAAAATGGAGGATGGCGTCAAGAAACATGAGATGAGAAGAAATCAACGCTGCTATGGCAATAACCCATCCTCACCTGTCCTTTCACCAGACTGGCAGCGAACTGCCTCATCACGGCCTCGACGGTGTAAGCGCTCGACCAGCCGCGAGGCGTTAATAACTCCATGCAGATCGCGCCGCCGTCCAGCACGTATCCGTTCTCCAGCCGCGGCGTGAGGACCCGCATGAACGGCGGAGAGAAGGGGAAATTGTCGGGGAAGGTGACATTCAGCAGTATGTACTCGGTGTTGGTCTCCTTCATGTCCTGCCACAGCGCGGAGTCCTTGTCCACCTGGTGCAGCTTGACATTCCAGTCAAACAGGTTATCGTCCGCCAGCTCCACCGTGATGAAGTTGTCGCCGAGCCGCCGGATCTCCTGCAGCTCCTTCATCAGCCTCCGCGTCCGCACCTGGGTGCAGTGCTGTCGGTTCGCCGCCGGCGGGGGCATCACGGAGCCGCTCGTCGCCTTACTGCCAGCCGTTAGCTGCTTCTCTTTCGTGTCCTTGCTGGGTTTGTCCTGTTTGACGGCTGGCTTGTCCTTGCCGGACACGTCGAAGCGCCTGGCTTTGATTTCGGGCGTGCTGAGGATGTTGTTGGTCTCGTTGCTGGTGTTGCAGTGCTTCGTGTTGTTGTTTTTCTGGTTGCCTTTGGTCCCTTTCAATGAGCCCTGGTGGTGATGCTTCGGGTCCTCCGTGTCTCGGTCGTGCAGTCGAATGAGCCCGATTTTTCTCAAAAGAGTAGCCATTGTGATGGTTCGTCGTTCGTGTAATGGAGCTCGGAAAAAAAGACGCCCGCAAAGCAGCTCTTCCTCAATGCATCACTTCTCCCCGCGAGTGCACTGAAACACAAGAGCTCTCATTTAATACGCATTCCTACTCCTATAATTCCCTGTGAGGCTGCACACCCGCGGCTGCTGCAAAAGGCGCGATAACGTTGCTAGAAAATGAACCGATAATCTGGCGCAGGCATACAAGAATTAGAATAGCGGGAGCGGAGCACCTCAGGTCGGGTAGCTTCCGCTGTACCTGGACGGAATGAGTAATCAAGGGTCCTGCACGAGTTATTTTTTTTCTTCACACCAGTATTCCGACAAGTCCCGCCCTTGACCTGATCACTGTTTGCTGGAGTTGCAACAACTATGTGATTGACTTCTAAACTGTCCAATCACAGACTGGCAGTAGCTCATACTAGCCAATCCTGCCTTTGGACGCTGGACTTGTCTGGATGCTGGTGGATAAAATAAATAACGCGTTGCTCGACATCTATATTATTAACGCTTGTATTGTTAGTACATTTTTCTGTTATAAGACAATTCATATTCGGCTATTGTGCATTTGTTTATTATTATTCTTGGTGGTTTTTGTTTTGTTTTGTTTTTACATACAATTTCTCTATAAAATTAAACTCTTCTTGTTTTTTAAATGATTCCTGCTTTATGTGTGTTGTTGGGTAAAAAGAAGTCTCATAAACAATATTTAGTGTCATTGTACAGCCTCGTGTATTTGTTTGTTTTCTCCCTGGCGTTTTCCACAATCACTGTAATATTATATAAGATGCTATCAGCATTAAAACAAATCTAAATAAATAATGCATCTTTGTCCTAATGTTTGGGTTGGGAAGAGGTCGAGTTTATGATTCATCAGCTTCAAATGAATCAATACACTCTTCACTTAAACCTCGCATTGAAAAGGTAAGTGCACCACTTTGCATTAATCTTTTGCGTTTGAACGAACCATGTTGCAGCCATCAACCAATACATTATATGTCATCCATATAATATTTTGAATTATATTTAGCGTAATACAGTCAAACTGGTCAATGAAATTGTTTCAAAATAAATCCAAAATATTTCACAATTATATTTTATGGAACGTTTTTTCAACAATGACTTTGCAGCAATTCTAAACGCTTTACAGCACAACGAAGGATTCTGTTACCAGGGTTACAGTCCATTCTCACTCGCTATTGGATGAAACGCAGCCGGAAAGCAGTACGCTGTCATGGAAGCTGCGTTGCGTGAACTGATGTCCGTCTTTTGTCAATAATTGTATAGTTTTATCTTGATAGAATTAAACTTTATTTAAAAATACAGCACGTCATGGCCGAAAAGTTCGATAATCTCGAGGAACACCTCGAGAAATTCGTCGAAAACATACGACAGCTTGGAATTATTGTCAGCGATTTTCAGCCCAGCAGTCAAACAGGACTCAATCAGAAACTGTGAGTTGTAATCTGTTTATTTGAACACGAATCCAAGTTCAACACATTATGTTGGTTTAAACAAATAGTAAGTAATAGCGATGTTTTTAGCAGTAGACTTTCTTGGCTCAATATCTGTAATATTGCCTCATTCAGTCACGACTCACGAGTAAAGCCTGTAAATGATTAACGTTAGGTTATTTATTTCTTCAGGAATTTTATGATCACTGGACTGCAGGACATTGAGAAATGCCGACAGCAGCTACATGATATCAACGTACCGTTGGAAGTGTTTGAGTGAGTATTACATTTCATAATGAAGATACATTGAGAATATTTCTTGAGTCCTCTTGTAATTAAAAAAAAAAATTACCCTACTTTTACACTCATTCCTTCTATGTACCAATTTAATGAACAGACCTGTTATATTCAAAAAGATGAGATATCACATCTGCATAAAAACATGAATTGCTATGATTGATTATTGATGTTTTGGATTGTGCCCACAGGTACATTGACCAGGGTCGTAACCCTCAACTCTACACCAAGGAGTGCTTAGAGAGAGCTTTGGCTAAAAATGAGCAGGTCAAAGGAAAGATTGACACCTTGACTGTGAGTATTGGTCCAGTACTAACACAATGAATGACTCATTTGGGAGTGCCAGCAGGTTATTTGTTTTAAAAGGGACATAAGTATTTTATAATTATGCTACCACTCATGCTTATAGTTATTGTAATTATAGTCATTCTTGGTCTAAACATTTTGTTAATAATATATGTAAATATATAAATATAATATATGTCCTTGGAAAGTGTATATATATATATATATATATATATTGCTAAAGTATACAGTTCTTTGCTTTATACATTTCTGCTGCAGATAGACGATTTCCCTATATGTTTTGAATAATATAAAAAAGGCACATCATCTCACCCTCTTACAATATTTTGCGGTTTCTTTTTTTCTCTCCAGAAATTTAAAAGCCTCCTCATTTCTGAGCTGGGAAAGGTTTTTCCTGAAGAGATGTCTAAATATAAGGCCATTCATGGAGATGACCCTCCTTCATGATTTACCAGTGCCACAACACTTCAAACACAAGATGTACATATGTTAATATTAGTATAACATGTTTTTTAATGTTCAATTCATCAGTCAAATATGCAAATTTTTACAGCTTTTTCATCTTTGTATTTGCCTTTGTAATTCACAAGAATACAATTTGAAAACTGAGGGATATTTTGAGAAACCCTTGAAACGGTGAAAAGCTTTTTTTTTTGTTCATGCATTGTAATTTTCGCAGCATAATTTTTTATTTTTCAGTTGAATAAATGATTATTTTGTGTAATCACAACAACCAGTCTTTCTGTTATATCGACCATGTTGTTTTTGATCTGAATGTATAAACGTTTCAGCAAGCTATTATATAACCTTTATCGGGTGTTTATTCGGTTGCATTGGCTCCAGTGGCTCAAGTTACTTTCTGGCATGCTCTTTTTCGCCATGCGTGTAATCTCACATTACTTGTCTGGTGCCGTGGTGATGGAAATGATTCGTACGTGTCCTCCTTTAACCACATGACATTATTCACGAGCTATGACTGAGCTGAACTGGGAGCTTACAGTGGGACTTCACCCTAGATGACAATTTAAGGACTGTCTTTCATGTGTCGACAAATCCGAGGCGTTCTTTATGAATGTCTCTCATTCTGAACATCGAAAGATAGGTCATTAGAATGGTAAAGCTTTGTACTTGGGCAACAAAGACTGGAGATTTAAACATGTGTCTGAAATACCTTTGGTCCAATCGGTGGTGGTTTTGTAACTCCTTTGTTAGGCTTTAAGTCTTTCAAGACTGTTCAAACTCAGAACATCTGCTGTATGATTAGTCACTCCCCTTCACAAATGGACTCTCCTAAGACTTTTAGCCAGTGTTTGGATTGGAATATACACTGTAAAAAAAAAAAGTTTTTTCACAGAAATATACTGTATTATTTTACAAATATTTTCCGTTTTTTTAACATTACGTGTAAATGTCATTAAAAAACAGAAAAAAACTTTTATTAAAAACATTAACCATAAAATAAAAGTAATAATCTGTAAATTCATATAAGGAGAAATTATAGTTTTTTTACAGGATTATGCTTTTGTTTAATTGGCTTGAATGTTAAATTACATTAAATTCTATGTAAAAAGACAAAAAAAATCGCTTATTTAAAATTAAGACAACTATGTGTTTTTTTACTGTGAAACCTTAAATTTAAGGTAAATACATGTAAAAAAAACAATCGTAAAAAAACGGTAAAAAGTCTGGCAGCAAAGTTGCCAAACACTCACCGTCAAATTACAGTAAACAACCTTAAGTTATTCTACGGAATAATTCTGTTTTTTAAAATACAGATATTTACTGTAAACATTTTCTGTATTTTTACAGTTCCACTGCTGTAGAATGAAAAGAAAATCTTATTAAAAAAATGTCTGTAGAACATTAAACAAATGAATAAATCTGCATATAAACTGGAAATTATTGCAGGAATACCTTACAATTATACAATTAAAGAAGTCTTCTGTTTTTACACAGTACTCTTTGGTAAATTCATAACATTATCAATTACATCCACAAGAACTCCCGTCAAAGTACAGATTTTTAGATGTAAAACACGTACTTTTCACATTAATGTATAGGTTTACTTTGAATAAACGTACTTTTTTGATAGTAATTAAACGCAACTATCCAATATATCTACATACTTTTAATTCAAGGAGTTCACTTTATATAAACATTGTTTTATAGTAAATAAAAGCAACTATCCAATATATCTACATTACTTTACCATTAATGTATAGGGTTAGGGTTAGGTTAGCACCTCACACCTATCAAATACAGGGTAAATGTAAAAGTCCCCTGCCACCAATGCAGATATTTTTCAGAAGCAAAGATAAACTTTGCTGGCCACATCAGCTTAAGATTCAACAAGTGCAGATACAAGAGTGATAGATAAAAAATATATACATAAAATAAAAATAAAACAACAGCTATGTAGGCTATACCTTTCATGCAGATATGCTGTAAATAAAAATTGAACATAATAATTACTGTGTGTTATACTACAGAAACAGATCTAAAAATATTGCCTTGAAAGATGGATGAATACAGTAGGAGATAATGTTGCACAGTGTAACTAAATATACAGTTATTGTACATGAAATAATTGCACAGCTTAAGTTTAATATAAAATTAAATCAAGAATAGTCTGATTGTTTATGCATCCTATATCCAGTGTTTCTACTGTCAGGTACCACTGACTCAGTGTTTACAATTCTGAAGTGTTCTGTAACAATTTCATAAGTGGCAGAGAAAAAATTGAGTGGCAACATTTTCAGACCCCACCCCGTGCACTGTAGCTGCTGCTGTCTGGTGCTGCAGCCTCAAGTCTCGGATCATCATGCTTTGGGACAGTTTTTCCGCAAGACAACCAGGCTCAAAAATGCTGGACACTAACCGCCTGTCTGCCTGTTGGTGTGAAAGGACTCTTGAATCTTGTGTGCTGATATGTCCTCTTTTGGCTTGGCTTTTAAGGGTGACATTGTCCTTTTTGTCTGTTTGAAATGCTGCCCTGACAGTGATTTTCTGACCATACTATATTGACACGTATCTCATATGCTTATTTGAGAAGAAAATATGTGATTCAATTTAAAAGTAAAGGCTGTAAATCCACTTTAAAAACGTTGAAGCATTAAGACACAAAGTCAATCTATATTCAACAAAATTCAAGGCCCTCACTGCAGTGAAATCATTAGGCCACTCCACAATTTTCTCGGTTGATGGGAACAAACCGCCACACTATGAATAAAGC